CCACCTTAGGTGTATGTGGCTGGCGCCTTAGCCGCTTGAGCCACAGGCACCGAGCCTGGAGTTGACATTCTAATAGAAGATGGGCAATAAACATAGGAAACATCCAAGTAAAGAATATTAGAAAGTGTAAGGTGTTAAGGGCTGTCAGGACAATGCCAGTAGAGCCCCCTGCCTTACATTTGGAGGGAGGAGCTTTCAGGAACACACAGCAGCCCATGGGTCCTGGGGAGGCCACGCAGGCCTGTGCATTTTAAGTGGCACAAGTGTTAGGCAGCGCTCACCTCTCACGGCCTCATCCAGGGAGCCCCCTGCAGCAGGAACAGAATACACATTAAAGCACTTGTTAGCCAGGAACTGGATCCCTCTCACAGGTGAGTAAGTGCTTGTCAACACATTGTTTTCCCTTGAATGGACAGAAAGAAAAAATACTTTGCATATTTTTCAAGGAAGACAATAAGAGCATTGCTGAGTTCAAACACCCTTCTATCATCCAAGGGCTAAACACACCCACAGAGCTTGACTATAGATATTTACATATGAACAAAGAGCTGAGCCTGACCCTGGATGTGTGAGAATGAATGAAGTCCTTTTATCTTTAGTTTCTCTTTGTTTACAGATTGCAAGCAACCTATATAAGGAAGCAATCATTTGGCACCTGCTTAGTACTTGTGTGAGCTGCTTTAAGAATCACTAATTAACACAGGGCTGGACTGTTCCAGGTCCCAAGATCTCCTGGGAATCCCTCCTGACCCTGCTAGATTGCCATAGTGGTCACCACAGTCACAAGCAGCAAAGCCCCATCTTGAGATCCCTGAGGTAACGAAAGTAGAAGTAAGGGTGAGTCAAAGGGTGGAACGTTATGTGCGTTCATCACTATAACCAAGAGATAAAGATTGGCCACGGGAAAAGTCCTCGGATTTTTAATAAGTCTCTGAGCTTTTACTGAGGATGGTTTATAGGCGGAAAGCCTATAAATAAGCCTTTAAATGGTTCTCTTTTGTGAAGGCAAGTTTGAAGTGCTTTTGAGTTAGAAAGGGAAAAATCCTGGATAGAACTCCATAACGTAGAAGTGATTAAAGGCCTGGCTTGGTGGGGGCAGGCCTGCAGGCCGGTACCTGTATATCTCAGGAATTTCCAGACTACTCCCTAAAGATGAATGACTGCCTCCAGATGGTCTGTTAAAGGTCATGCATTCAAACAGCTTATTCCCTCAGAACCTTGTTTTGTGGTTTTGTTTTTGATTACTTAGTATAAGAATAACTTTAGACAATGTTAGTGAGGTGGTTATACCCTTAGGGGCCAGGCAGTCAGAGGCCTGGAGCTAAGGTTTAAGTCATATGTTTATTGATTAATTGTGTGTACCTGTAGCATTGCCTATATAAGCTTTGGTGGAAGGAATAAAGTTGCTGCATGCCACAAGAGAGCTACAGCCTTCTGTATTCGCCATACAATTTCATTGCAGGTCTTAATCTCTGCGGCACCGCACCATGCAACTTTCACACAACAGTGGTTCAGTTTCTGTCTACATATCCAGCACAGAGGAAAATAACAAGCAGAAGCCAGATTCACAAGAGTCTATATCATACCTCTGTGCCCCGACGGCACCTGGGAGAGGCAACTGGATGGGCATTTGCTGTTTCTTACAAAACCTCCTATTGCTCCGAAGTGCTTCTGTAATCTAAAGACAAAGAGGCAGAAATATATTTAGATGGGATAGCAGATATTTTTATATATATACAAGGATACACACATTTCCAGTTACAGAAAAATAAAGAAAAATACAGTTGCAGCACCCAAGCATTGTCTATAAGAATAAAGTTCAAGGTGCTGGGAGTGAGCTACCTGGTCCATAACAGCTACAGGGATTTTCTCCCGGACACATTTCACATAGTCAACTGTGGCCTCAAGGACGGAAGCCGAGTCATTCTTCCGCCCCTTCACATACGGCAAGAGAATGCGCAGCTGCTCACAGCAATACTTGATTCTTTCTCTGGACGGGGAATTGTGACAAATAAGGAATAATTAGTCTCATTTTCTTCCTTGTATTCAAAGACAAACAACTCTTCCTCCTCTGTGTGTGAGTAAAGGAACCTCCCTCTACTGCAATCTGGTCTGTTTCAGAGAAAGGCCGTGTCCCCACAAGCCAGCAGCCCTCATAGCCTCTGGAATCACAGCATCCCGAGGTACCCAGCAACTGTTGCTGAGGTACCATGGGTGCTGATGGCAGCCCCAGCCCCCACCCCAGGGCCTGCTGCCCTGCAAGGATGCCCAGACATTGGGGGAAAACACTCCTCCTGCCCACTGCTGCCCAGGGAACCCTACAGAACACTGCCCTTTGGTGAGAGAATTGCACGCTATACACATATAAATCCTTTTGTGATTCACAGTAGAAACCTAGAAGGCAGAGGGCAGTCAGGAACTTCAAGTCCCTGAGTACTACCACATTCCCAACAACAGATCAGCATCTTGTAACATACAGGCTTTCCATGTAACTGTGGCCTGAGCCCAGGGTACATCAGAGGGCTGCTTCCTTCATAGGAGGTAGGTACAGACAGAAAAATAAACCACCATGCAAATATCAGGCTAGTATAAGAAACTAACCTAAGTCTTTCATAGCTCTGAAGGGACATAGACAGGAAATGTAGATCTAATTGATGTAGACCTTGATGCCTTCATCCATTCATGTCCTCATTTACGAAACACCACTAGCACTTGTTTTTTACCAAACACTAGCTTGACACAGAGAGGTGGAATGATGGCTCAGCTAGCTATGAGCTGGGACCACAGGTAAATTATGAAATCTCTCCAAACCTCAGAATGGCAAAGAAAATAAATGAGAAATTTCGTGTGACATATAGCCAGTGAATAGCTCCAATATTCTTTATCACTGTGTTCTTTTTTTTTTTTTTTTTTTTTTGAGACAGAGCCTCAAGCTGTCCCCCTGGGTAGAGTGCCATGGCTTCACTGCTCACAGCAACCTCCAACTCCTGGGCTCAAGAGAGTCTCCTGCCTCTGCCTTCCAAGTAGCTGGGACCACAGGTGCCTGCCACAACGCCCGGCTACTTTAGGTGTATGTGGCTGGTGCCTTAGCCGCTTGAGCCACAGACGCCAAGCCATATCAGTGTGTTCTTAATTGGGCTTTAAGGAGCCCTGGGGGTTCTGTGAAAGTATCTCAGGAACTATTCTGGAAAAAAAAGGATAGAAGAGTCAACAATTCGACAATGTGTATGAAGAGCTTTGAAACTTTTCACACCCTTGGCACAGTATTTCCAATTACAAGGATCTATCCTAAGGAGATAATGTAAAATAACGGGCAAGCTTTTTGTACACAGGTACTCATTACAGCACTACATTAGTAAATATGGAAAACCACCCAAACACACAATACAGGAGAATGTCTTAGTAAGCTACAGTAGAGCGGCTCAGTAGAATATCATCCGGCAGGGAGGTGCTATGCTATGAAGTTTACTGGGGAAAGGCAGGATACGAAACAACATGCAAAATACGAACAAAGAAAAAATGAAGCACAGAAAAGAGATTGAAGGCAAAAACATTAAGTCATAGTTATTTCTAATTGGCTGGACAACAAATAATTTTTATTTCTTTCATTTTCTGTATTTTCCAAATATTTTTGGTAGGCATATGTCATTTTCATAATGAAAAATCCTACTGAACATTTTTTAATATTAGGAAAATGTTCAAACATACAGAAAACTTGAAAGAATTACACAGTGAACACCCATCACTTACAGTGGATGATTAGCATTCATTGCACAGCTGAATATCCGTTATCCCAAATGCTTGCGACTGGAAGTGTTTGGGATTTCAGATGTGTTTGGATTTGGGGATATTTGCACATTTATAACAGGGTACCTTGGAGATGGGACTCAAGGCTTAAAACAAAATTCATTTGTTTCATATATACCTTATCTACATAGCCTAAGGGTAATTTTATACAATTTTTCCTTTTTTTGGAGATAGTCTCACTTTCTCACCCTCGGTAGAGTGCTTTGGTTTCATAGCTCACAGCAACCTCAAGCTCTCAGGTTCAGCCTCCCAAGTAGCTGGGACTAATAACGCCTGGTTATTTTTAGAGATGGGGTCTTGCTCTAGCTCAGACTGGTCTCAAACCTGTGAGCTCAGGCCATCACCCACCTCGGGCTCCCAGAGTGCTAGGGTTACAGGCGTGAGCCACCGTGCCTGGCCATTTTATACAATATTTTTAGTAATTTTTTGCATGAAACAAACTTTGCATATATTGAACCATTAGTAAGAGATGGTCCTTATCTCATTTGGTGCCCCCCAAAGTTTCAGATTTTGGATTTTTATATTAGGTATGCCAACATGTATTTCCTTTATTGTACATATATCAGCCCACTGTTCATACATCAACCCATTTGAATATGTTATAGTATTTCTTTTTTTTTTTTTAGACAGGCGCCTCAAGCTGTCCCCTTGGGTAGAGTGCTGTGACATCACAACTCACAGCAACCTCCAACTCCTGGGCTCAAGAGAATCTCCTGCCTTACCCTCCCAAGTAGCTGGGACCACAGGTACCCACCACAACACCCGGCCATTTTTTGGTTGCAGCCATCATTGTTGTTTGGCAGGCCCAGGCTGGATTCGAACCTGCCACTTTTGGTGTACATGGCTGGCACCTTAGCCAGTTGAGCCACAGGTGCTGAGCCATGTTAAAGTATTTCAAAGTAAGTTGGAGACTTCAGTACACTATACCACTAAAAGATATCATTAGTTAGAGTTTAAATTATTTTATTTTTAGGTAAAAGTTATAGAAGATGAAATGTACCAATCTTTATGGGTTTCATTCTATGAGTCTGAACAAATATGCGTTCCCTTCCAGTCAATACCATCGCCTCTCCCCACAGAGCAACTACATTCCTGATTATTTTTCAATCCCACATTACTTTTGCCTGCCCTCAAATATAAATTTGATTTATACTTACTTTATATAAATGAAATCTTATAGGGTGTGTTGTTTTGTAGGGGTTCTTATACTCAGAATGTTCTGGGATTTATCCATGTGGCTGCCTGTATCAGCAGTGTGTTCCTTTTTCCTGAACAATACTGTCCCACAGTGCAGAGATGCTTCAACTTATTTACCTGTTCACTTACTGACGAACACTTGGGCTGTTCCCAGTTTGGGGTCATTATAAATAAGGCTGCTAAATCATTCTAGACATCTTTTTGTGAATTCATATTTTTATTTTTCTTGGGTGAATATCTAGGAATGAAATGATGGTTTTCTGGTAGAAGTTTAACCGAAGTAGTACTGTTTTATACTTCTACCATCAATGTATGATTCTTCTTCTTGTTCAAAATCTTTGATAACACTTAACACTGTTGGTTTTAACTGTGGCATTTTGGCCTTTCTAGGGCAGATGTAGGAACATCTTATTATGCTCAAATTTGCATGTCCCCAACAACTAGTGAAGCTGAGCACTTTTCCCTGTGCTTACTGGGCACTTGTACAGCGTCCTTTGTGATGTGTCTGTTCAAACATTTTACCTACCTTTCAATTCGATTGCAGGTGTTTTTAATCATTGAGCTTTGGGAGTTCTTTACATATCCTGGACACTAGTATCTGTTAAGTATTTGTTTAACAAATATTTTCTCTGAGTCTCTATCTTATTTATTTTCTTAAAGGTGACTTTTGATAGCAAAACTTACAAATTTTAATGAATGCAATTTACGCACTCTTTTTTACGCTTATTCCTTTCCTGTCTAGAGAGTATCCACTCACCTTCCTCATGAAGACTTCCTGTCTTCTTGTAGGACTTTTTTTTTCTTTTTTTTTGAGACAGGAGCCTCAAGCTATCCCCCTAGGTAGAGTGCCATGGCATCATGCTCACAGCAACCTCCAACTCCTGGGCTCAAGCGAGTCTCCTGCCTCAGCCTCCCAAGTAGCTGGG